CACCCCGCGCAGTTGCTCAGATGTTTTTTTCCTTCGAGGCCTTCCAGGCACCCCAGAGCATCATCGAGGGCCTCCGGAGTGGCGCGCGTTTCGGGTGGTGCATGGCTAATTTCATGTCGCGGAAGTTCATGGCGGCTCGGACCGACATCTCCTTTCGCTTTCGCACTCGGGCCGATGGCCGCGCGTAACGCGCGGCGGGCTTCAGGGAAGCAGCCCGTCAGAAGTTGCACCGCGGTGTTCTAGCCACTTGCGAGGCGTCGCAAGAGCGCGGGCCCCCAAATTCCGGACAAGAGCGCCATCTTATGTTCTCGTGTTCCCAACGACAAGGCCATCGTCAATCGCATGCGTCGGCGCGGGCGCAAGGTTCAGCGCGGCCTGCGGGCTGGTCTACTCGGAGCTGATCTCGGAGCAGGCCGGGTAGCCAGAGCGACTCGCGCCAGACGGATTCAGGAAGCCAAAGCCATGAACCGTCGCATTTGCAAGTTTGCGCGCGTCTCGCGCACACGCGCGCAGGCGTGATTGAGCGAGCTGGAGTCCCAGCAGCTGGCACACACAGGCACCAGGTTTACGGAGCTTTCGGTGAGCTTCGTCTTCAATGTCGGCGCCGTCTTGGGCGCACTCTGTCTTCGGGCACGCGGGGGTGGTGTCTTACCGCGGTTCTCGATCTCAGGGCAGACGGTCACGACCCAGGGCGCGAGCATCCTCGAGAGTGCCTCCAGCCATGGCTTCGCGCGTGGGCGCAGGAGCCAGCTATCCGTCTAGCCGCGCGCGCGGCGTGGCCGCGAGTGGTCTCGTAGTTTCGTGGCCTTGCCCCTCGGCAGGTCGCTCGCGCTGTTGGCCCAGTCTCATTTGTTGTGGCATACCTTCTCGATATCCTCCCTCCTGCGCTGCCCATCCGCATCGATCTTCCCCCCTCGCTCACCCCCTGCTGCGCTGTCTCCGTCTACGCTTCGCCCTTGGCCGCATGTTCTCCGTCTCGGCTACTTTTCCCCCTCCCCTCCCCCGCCTTAGCTTGGTTCTCGATGTCCTCTCTCATGCGTTACTCGTCGTCATCAAAAAAAGGTGGACGATGCCAGCAACGGGCAGGAGCAATTGGGGAGTGGGCGCAGCGCGCTGGCCCACTCGGTCTGCATTCTGACCCTTTGCTGAGCCACTCTCCGCTCCCCCATCTTCCCTTCCCCCATCTACCGGGGAGGCGCGCGCAGCCGCTGGGCCCGCGGGCTGCCTCGCTGGGGCCCCGGGGAAAAGATCCGTGAGCGTCCATTCCGACGCCGGGGCAAAGTCGCACCCCTGTAGGCGACGCCTCGGCCCCGGGTGAGTTGCTGGCAGCGCCAGGGAGCCTCTAAAAGATTTGCGTTGCGTTCGCTTGCCTGCCGGCGAACGCCCAGCAGCTCGACGTGCTGGCGCCGCGTGGAGGAAAAGCAGCAACAGCAGCAGGAGGAGCAGGAGCAAGAGCAAGAACACCAGGAAAAGGAGGGGCAGGAGGTCGGCCCGCTGCGAGGAGGAGGAACAGGGAAGAGCGGGGAGGAGAGGGCAGGATTGGGGAGGAGGGCCTGCCCCGAGCGAGGAGCCACCGGTCCAGCCAGGCGCGCGCCCGACATGCCCGACGCGCTGGAAGTCCTTTCAGGAAGCGGCCTTGTGGTGGGCCAGGCGCAGGACCAACAAACAGGCGCGGGGACCACGCGCGCCGGTGGCATAAAAAACTTTGACGGGCGCCACCCGGTCTCCACGGCACCAGCGGCAGGGGAATGGCCTTCGAGGGCCACCGCGGCCAGCCTCACGGGATGAGCGCTGAACGGGAGGCCAGCATCGAAGCAGCCGCCATCCAGTACAGCTTACCATGACTGATGGGCTCGTGACTGCCAGAGCAGGGGCGGCCGTCATTGGGTTCGACTGGTCCACAGATATGTGGGATATTCGCTTCCCTGTCGCACGCGCGCGAAGTTGAGCACGCAGTGCTCACACATGAGCTGCTACATGTAGCGAAAAGCGCGATGCGCATCTTAGCCTGCCAGTTCGTGTGAATTGCCAGGCTTTGGTGGATGGCGTTGCAAGGCCCTTCTCGGTATTCGGCTGGCTTGTACCCTCGACATCCGTGTGCCCGCACACTTGGGGGCCCTCTTGAAGCCCTCGGTGGGGCCTCTTGAGTCTTCTTGTTCGCGTGGCCCTCCGAGGCTCCGGGACTCAGTCGCGCAGATCTTGGGGCACTCTTGGGCGTTTAGTTTGGCCTTCTTTGGGGGGCTGAGATGCTCCTGGAAGCTTCCTCGGGCTTCCGCGACATTATTCACCACATCGGGCTTGGCTTCAGGCTCTATTCATCGGGCCACTGAGCGATGGTATTGTTACGACTGGGAACGGGGAGTGCCCTTGTCTGTCTGCGTGCACGGCTTCGAGTGTAGCTTGCTTCCCATATATCTCGCCCAATCAGCCGCCCTTTCATTTCTTGAAGGGAGGACGTGCGCAGGGGGGCAGCAGCGAGGGGCTCAGGCGAACGCCGCGCTCATCAGCGCCGCCAGCCAGCGGGAGGCGCGTGCGGATAAGGGGGGGGCAGGTCATCCCCATGCCGTCTCTCCTACAGAAGGTTGATGAGTAGCAGCGGCAGAAGCAACAGGGAAAGGAGGGGTGTAGGAGGAGGAGGATGCAGGAGAAGGAGTAGGAGAAGGAGCTGGTGGAGGACAAGAAGGAGGAGGAAGGGTGGCGGGAGAGAGAACGGATGATGATGATGATGATGATGATGATGATGATGATGATGATGATGATGATGATGATGATGATGATGATGGTGATGGTGATGGTGATGGTGATGGTGGTGGTGGTGATGATGATGATGTGGATGATGATGATGATGATGATGATGATGATGATGATGATCATGATGATGATGATGATGTGGATGATGATGGTGGTGGTGGTGATGCTGCTGATGCTGATGCTGATGCTGATGCTGATGCTGATGATGCTGATGATGATGATGATGATGATGATGATGATGATGCTGATGATGATGATGATGATGATGATGATGTGGGATGATGATGATGATGATGATGATGATGATGATGATGATGATGATGATGATGCTGATGATGATGATGATGATGATGCTGCTGCTGCTGATGATGATGATGATGATGATGAGGAGGAGGAGGAGGAGGAGGATGATGAGGAGGAGGAGGAAAAAGTCAAGGTGGCGGAGGTGGAGGGGAAAGAGGAGGAGGAGGAGGAAGCATTCCCTTCCCCCCCCCTTCCCTGCCTTCCCCCCTCCTCTGTTCGCGCGACAGCCGTCGTGGAAATGCAACGATGCCTCCCCTTCCTTCATCCGTCTGTGCTGCTGTCCACAGCTGGTCCTTGATGGTACTGCCACCTGGCCGATCAGAAGGGCTCCTGCCCAGGCTGGCCGCCGCAGGCGGCGAAGCCTCGCTATGGACCCCCCCGCGCAGTCGCGAACCGAAGACTTCGGGTGCCCCTGCCGCCCCGCGGGGCTTCCCCGCGGGCGTCGCCCACACGGCTCCCTCGACTCGAGCGAGGAGCGGGAAATGTACGTCGAGCTCGATTTTGCCCCCCGTGCCAATGGTCAGAGGAGGAGCAGTCACCGATACCGATGCCCTTCCCTCGTTTGGGGCCTTTTTGAGCCTCCTGGGAGGCCCTCGTCGTGGGAGGTCCTCGTCGCCACGCGCGGGTTCTGCTCGGAAATCTGGACAGAACGCTCCCCTGAAGAGGCCCAGGGAGCAGCGGCATCGGATTCAATCGTTGTCCCCCCGAGTGGGCGTCCTTCCCTTTCTTCGTGCTGCCTTCCCTTGTCGCCGTGTGCGGCTTCGCTGCCGCTGCGTGTCTCGACGAGCTCCTGCTGCCACACTGCCCGAGTCCAGCCCCCCTCGTCCCATTATGCACGGCATCACCAGCGGCATGTCTGCCCTGGCCGTTGCCTCTTTCGCTGCAGTGCTGAGCAGCGCGGCCCTCTGGCAAGGGAGGGCCACGGCGACTGGCGCGGCCGCGACCTTCGAATCGGTCGGGAAGGGCGTTGGCCTTGCGCACGCGACTGGTGCCATCCAGCGGTGCCGGCCTCGCCGTGGCTCTCGTCCGACGCTCCCCGTGCGCCTCCCTCGTGCCCGAGGGCACTGGGCTCATGGAGCCAGCTGAGCTGGCCAGCTCGCTCGGCTTCGGGCCGCACTCCGAACGCAGGCCGGGCGAGATCCTGCGCGGCGCTCCTCCGCGAGGAGCGGGCGGGCCTGCACCGGTCAGGCCAGCTCGTCGGCGCCTCCCCTCTCGGCCCGAGGCTCGGGCTCGGAGCGCTCGTCCAGCAGCGCCCCCCCCCCCTGCCTGGCACCGCTCGGGCGTGCGCACATTCTCCTCGGCGAGGGCCACGGAAGAGCCTCCTGGATCCTCGAGCAGACGGACGCACGCACGACACCGAAGAAGGCACAGGGAATGGACGTCCGAGCGACGGCAAGCCTGGCCCGAGGGCGCCCGCTGGGCGCGCCCCCCTCCGCAGAGCTTCCCCCGCCGCTCTCCGGTCGCCGCCCCGGCCTCGCGGGGGGGGCTGCGCGCCGCGGGGGCCGGAGAGCGGCGGCGGCGGCGGCGGCGAGGGGGGGCGCGCCAGGGGCCCCGGCGGGGGCCGCCGCCGGGGAGGCGGGGCGCGGGTGCGTGGCCGTGGCGCCTGGCGGAGGCAGTGCGATGGGCCGGGGAGGGGTGGAGGTTTGAGGCATACATACATACACACACACACACACACATATATATATATATATATATATATATATATATATATATATATATCCGTAGCCATTTTGGCTCAAGGGCCAAATTGCGATTTCCTCAGAACTGCCTTCGCGGGGTAGGCTCCCACCCAGTGTTCCAGCTGCTTCCAAGTCCAGGTCCGCCCCTGGCACCAGCCCCAAGTCCAGGTCCGCCCCTGGCATTCATATCAAGAAGTCCAGGATCACCCCTGGCATCCATATTCCAAGTCCTGGTCCGCCCCAGGCATCCAGTGCTCACCGCGAATGGCGCTCATAGCGGAGCTGCTGCTGCTGGTCGCCCTTCTGCTCCTCTCCAACCCGCTGGTGCTGGCGCGAGTGGTGCTGGCGACCGACAACCAGATGCAATCCATCAACACGACCCCTGGAGAGAGTCGGCCGCTCTATCCCGTGGTGCTGCTGAAGGAGCCAAGAGGCCCCGTGCTGATGCTTCCAACGCCTCAGCTTCCAATGCCTCAACCCCCTCTTTGCTCGTGGACCCCATGGACGCCGTCAGCGCCGCCATCGCAGCCTCGCAGGACTTCCTCACAGCTCAGCTCGACTCGAAGCTGGCATCGGTCAAAGCAGAGATCATCGGCGAGTTCGCAACCCAGCTCAAGGGTCCCCTTGGCGCGGTGGTCGGACAGCAGCAACAACGGAACGCGCAGTTCACGGGTCAGAGTCAGTCACTACAGGCCACATCGTCGAAGCTCGAGGCCGAACAAACAGAACTACGTGCTCAAATTGCAGAAATGCGACAGCGGCTATACATGCAGGGGGCACAGATCCCCATCAAGGATTACGAGAATCTCATCGAATGGGACCGACCAGCAGACACCAGCATCATCGTGGGCGCGGCCGCGGAGAACTTCACGCTCGACGAATTCAAGGCCAGCATCCAGCCCATCATCGACAGATGCGAGTTCGGCGACGGCGAGCGGGAGGCAGTGGGCAAGAGTCCAGCGCGTCGATTCCTCATCCAGTTCAGTGGCGACACGAATGCCTCTGCTCGGCGTGTCCGCACTTTCTACAGCAAGCTCAAGGGCGCTGGCGGCGACTGGCTCAACACGATGGTCAACGGCATCCACGGTCAGCGCACGCGTCTCTTCCTCGGTCTCGATCGCAGCGGCAAGACAGCGAGGCGGGAGTTCCAGACAAAGAAGCTCACCCAGATCTGCAAGACCCAACATGACACGAAGCGCTGGCGAGGCGACCGCCAGCAAGGGATCATCTATTGCAGCAACCTGCCCATCCTCTCCATCTCTGTGGGTTCCACAAAGGACGAGCCGACCAAATTGCTCTTCAACTACCAGGGCTGCCTCACGCACGGCATCAACAGGGAGGACGTCCGCGCGAAGTTCGAAGAGGTCTTCCAAACATCCTTGGACGCGAGGGACGTCCAGTGGCAGCTTTAACAAGACGCTGGCCCCTTGGCGCAGGGCACAGTCTGATGGCGCCATCACTTTCACTACATGGAACACGCGAGCGCTCCTCTGCCAGGACCCGCTCAAGCGCAAGAAGAAGGTCACCCACATGCTGAAGGTGCTCAACTCCACGTCGGTGCTGGCCATGCAGGAGGTGCACGGCTCTGAGACGGAGCTCGCCCACGCCCTGCACCTTGGCCACAAGTCTGCGGCCATCTTCACCTCCATCCCTGAGCGCGGCACGGGAGGCGTGGCGATTGTGCTTCCTGGACTCTCGCAAGAGGAGGCGGCTGATCCTGACCGCTTCCGTCGCACCGCGCCTGTACCTGGCCGCGTACAACGTCTCCCAATCAAGTCGGATCTCGCTGGTGCACCCGAGGGCGCTCTGCCGTCCATGGTGGTGATCTACAACGTTCGCAACTTCCACCTCGCGCAGGATCAGGTCCAGCGCACGGTGGGCACGATTAGGGCGGAGCTCAGCGTCGCAGAGCAGCAGCCCGAGCGCATCGCAGTCATGATCATGGGCGACTTCAATTTCATGGATGAGGCCCCGTTGGAGACGACGGCCCCGCTCGTCAGCAAGGGGCTACCCAGGCTACGCAACGTCTACCCTGAACATCAGCTTCTCTGGGAGCAGGCGCTGGGCGACATGGTCGAGGTGGACCCCGAACTCCCCGCGCACTACACTGAGCACCCCCAGCAGTGCGCGCGCATCGACAAGATCTATACCTGCTCGCCGCCGTGGCTGTTGACGCAATGGCGCGCGAAGGTCGACATGCCCATGGCGCCTGACATGCTCTATGACAAGGGCATTTCGGATCATGCCCCAGTACGCCTACGCCTTTCAGCCCGAGCTCGCGAAGATCGCGAGTCGCAGCCGATCCCGCAGCATATCTTCGAGCACCCTCTTTTCATCAAGTACTTTGACCTGCTGGTCAGCCATGCCGACCTGGACAGCTACGCGCCCTTTGTGCGCCCCCAGGAGCTCAAGCGCCTGATCCGCGAGGCGGCGCGCCTCACCCGCGACGACCTGACAGACATGCATGCACCGTGCTCGGCGGCAGCTCTCACCACTTGCATAGCGATCTCGAGGGCGGTCTGGCGCAATGACTGGCAGAGCGCACGCGCACTGAAGGCGCGCACTGAGCTCGGTGACCAGTTCTTGGACATCTCTGACCCGAACAACATTACGCTGATCGAGCCTGGCACGTTCCGCCGCGTCGTCGAGCAACACCAGAGGTCGCGCACTGAGGCCCTGCTGCAGGAGGAGTCCGCCGCTGACACGCCCTTCCAGCAGCGACGGCGGCTCCGCAAGATGAGGAAGGCAATCCAGAAGCGTGGCAGGCTCTGGGCCCCAACGGGCAAGACCCTCAAGCTCAAGGCTATCGAGGTGATGCACGACCACAGCACCGCGGAGACGCCTGCTGCCATGATCGAGGAGGTCCGTCGGCAGTGGTCCCCAGTCTTTCAGGCGAAGCCAAGCCACCTCCAGCACGTAAAGCGCTACCTCGAGAAGCACATCGTTCCGTATGACTGCACGGACATGGACTCCCCCACTTTGGGGGAGATGAAGAACCTGATCAGCAGGCTCAACAACTCGGCGCCTGGACCTGACGGGATCCCCTACATGGCCTGGAAGCGGATCCCCTCGTCGGCGCAGCTCATGCTCGACGTCGCCATCGAGATCGTGCAGGGCTACCCTGTCCCGCTCACCTTCAATGACTCGCCGATGATCTTCACCCCGAAGGGGTCGGAGCCTGCTGACGAGCATTGAGCGACGAGGACGGCGAAGGCAACTCGTCCCCATTCTCTGAAGAACACGGACTGCAAAATCGCCGCGGCCATGGGGGATGAGCTGATGAAGCCGATCGTAGCCAAAGGCGCGCACAAGGCGCAGGAGGGCTTCTTACCGCAGGGGCGCTTCATCGAGCACGTGGTAGCGATGGGCGCGCAGGCTCGCATCGTGGCCATGCAGTCGGACCCCGTGGAGAAGGACCCGCTCCTGGTGCTCTTCGACTTCGGCGACTCGTTCCCCTCCATGTGCAGGGTCTGGCTGAGCACCGCGCTGGAGATCGCAGGTTTCCCGCAGGGCATCCGCAACATGGTCGACGCGATCTACCTCCTGCCCGTTGCCTTCACCAACCTTGGGGGCGCGCTTGAGGTGTTCTGCGCGCTGGCCTCGGGTATCCTCCAGGGGTGTCCGTGGTCGGGCACTCTCTGGGCCGTCGGCATGGATCCGTTGATCAGGGACATGCACACCCGCTCGGGCAGTTTCAAGGGCGCTGTCATCGGCGTCTGCGCGGATGATGTGGGCAGCGTGATGCCTGTGCTGAAGATGTTGCGCCCCATATCCAGCGTCTTCTACGCGGCGGAGCTCCTGGCGCGCCTGGTGCTCAAGACGGCGAAGTGCAAGATCATCCCGTTGGCGGACTATTTCTCGTCGCCGGCGGTCGTGGACAGGGTGCGCGCCAAGATCGAGGCGCTGGTCCCGATGTGGGGCGGCATGACGATCACGGACATGGCTGAATACCTTGCGGTGCTGATGGGCCCGAGCGTGGATGACTTCAAGCGCTGGCAGAAAGCGGTGGCGGGCTGGCAGCGCACGACCAACCTGATAGCGGATGCGAGCGCTCTGACTTCGACCTCGCTGATGCTCTACAGCCAGAGGGCGGTAACCAAGATCTCCTACCTCAGCCAGCTGTTCCTGTGGCCGCCCAAGATGAAGCGCAAGGATAACTGGGCTCTTCACCGCATCTGGCACCTTTCTCCTCAAGCGCTGCCACGAGATGATCTGCTTCGCATTGGTGACTGGTCGCCCTCGCTGAAGGCGGTCTCGCTCGAGCTCAGCAACAGGGCCGCCCTGATGCGCAGCGCCACGGACTCGGTGAAGAACTGGCCGCACTGGGCAGCCAAGCTCAAGGAGGCGGCGGCGGTGGCATTGCCCCTCTACGACCTGGCGCTGGGCATGCATGCGCCATCGCACTGGCGCTCTCCGCCGATTGCCCTCACCTTGGAGGAGGCAGCTGGCGGCTTCAAGAACGACCCAAACGAGCTGGTGGCCACCGTTTGTGGCCAGGCACTGAATGAGTGGCGCGCGGAAAAAGCCCGCCTGCTGGTTGCCTGCCCGAATCCACGCTTGCGCATGCAGAAGCACATGCGCTCTCACCTTGCCCCCTCGCTCCTGGTTTATCGCCTCCCCTCGACCTTCCTCGCCCGCCTCAACTCCTGGCCGACAGAATCACAGCCATATGTGCAAGCACAATGGGGGCCGCTTAAAGTGCTGCTCAAGTCAGATTTCTCTCCTGCGTCTCGCTCCGCCCTCCTCAAGACTTGGGCGGGGGGATGGACCACAAGCCGACGCCTGCACACGCGTGACAAGAGCGCAGGCGGCCCATGTGTTTTCGGCTGCCAGCAGGGTGATGCTCCTGATGCATCTGACTCCATTTCTCACTACGTGCTCTGCGCTCACATGTGGCACGCTGTCTGCACGGTGTGGCACGTGCGCTTACTTGCGCCGAGCTCGCTTCCTGCTCGTCTGGGCCTCTGCAGCGGAGAATCGGGCGAGTATCTTCAGCGTGTAGCGCTGGAACGCACCATCATTGCTTTTCATTTTACAACATTCAGTCGAAACTGCCGCCAGGGAAGTGGACACTCCCAGAGGTGGCTGTGGATAGTGCCTGCGCTGCAAGGGCACTCTCCCTCTCAACGCACAAGCCTGCTGCCCAATATTCTGTTTGACTCACTGTGGAGCGCAAGCACGAGCGATATATATATATATATATATATATATATATATATATATATATATATATATATATATATATATATCCCGGGGGGCGAGGGCCGGGGGCCCGGGACCTCGACTCGACAGGGCATGGGGGGGCCGGGCGTCCCGGGGGGCGAGGACCGGGGACCCGGGACCGCGACTCGACAGGGCATGGGGGGACCGGGCGTCGTTTTCCATATTTTTAATTCGGTTTCGGCGACCTGGGGCCAACAGGGCCCCAAGAGGCTGCAGGGAGGCCCCAGGAGGCCGCAGCGGTGGCTCCAGACGCCTTTCAAGACGACTCCCATGACGCCAAGAAGGCCCCCGAAGGCCCCGAAGACGTCCCAAGAGGCACCTCGAGAAAGGCCCAATAAGCAAACATCGTAGATTTCCGACGGGAAAGCTGATGTTTTTGGCGTGTTGCCTTTCGGGCGTCCACTGCAGTAGGGGGCTCCACCGAAGGTTCCAGTGGCGCAGTCCGCATGCGTCTCCCCCACCCAGTACAGGGTTTCGTGGCCCTACAAGGGGGCTCCACCGAAGGTTCCAGTGGCGCAGTCCGCATGCGTCTTCCCTACACAGTACTGCGTTACGTGACCCTACAAAAGGGCTCCACCAAAAACGATGCATACAACTGCGATACTCATAACTGCATATGGTTGGGTCTTTCGCCAGGCTAATTCAAATGTCCCCCCTGCGTATTTTTGCACATCAGACCATCACTAAGGCCCCCGTCCCCACCGAAGAAAGATCCCAGGCAGCCGTCGAGGGCCCCAAATCATCGAGCACCTAAGGAAGTTGATGATGTTGTGGTTTCCGCATTTCCCCTCCTATACGCTTCCGAGGCTTGCGCAGGGACTCCAAGAAGGTCGTTAGATGCACAAGGCGCTTCATCAATTGAGATTCCATGCGTTAGCCTGTCGAGCCTAGCTAGAACTTGAGCGCGCGCGAAGCGTATATATATATATATATATATATATACATGTACACAAATTTACATTCATATATTCCCCTCCCTGGGCCCCAGACCCCTACTTCTGGAACAACTTTCGGACACTTCCCGGCACCGCCCCCCTTGGGCTCCCAGGGAAGCCCTCAAACGCACCAAGATGTCGCAAAACGCCACCAAAGAGCTCCCATAACACAAACAAGCACCCCAAGAAAGCCTTTCGACGGCTTTCCAGGCTCCCAGGATCGCCGAAGAGTTAACCAGAAGGCCTCCAAGAGGCCCCAAGGGACCTCCGAGAGGCTTCCCGAGAGGGCTCCAAGAGCCCAACACCATTGATTTTCATCGACAAGCTTTCAACAACGAATCTAAATAAATCGGGTCCACAAGTGTTGAGGTCCAATGCTCGTCGCCTACCACGTGGGGCGGCCGCTGCGTAAGGTCTGAGGCGTATGTTTCGTCTCTATCATTGTGATGGCGTTATTGAGCACCGTCGGGCGTGTCTACTTTACGAAGTTGAAGGAAGGCGTTACCAACCGCCTGAGGCCGCCCTCCACCAAACATAGTTACAACGCCTGCTTTTACCTTCCGTCCGACGGCTACTTCGCATTCCGCTGACCATTGGGTCAACTTCGACCCTTGCCCCTTCCACCGCATTATCCCCCCTCAAGGCATCTTCTCTTTCTTGTATTCCTCCATGCAGGGTGGTTTTCATTTGGAGCGCCAAAGTGTGAAACGCAGCAGCACGTTGCTTAGGCAGGCCCGTGCTAAGCGACTGGAATGGGCAAATATACCAACCAGTTGTCAGTGACCAGTGTCATCTCGGACTTTCTCCAGTCATTCGTCGCCCAGCCGAAGTGAGAAACAGAAGTATCGTTGATGTCCATTGTTTTTTCTGTCTAGTGTTAGGCCTTCTCGCGTTTTCAAGCTTCCAACGCTCCAAGACAGCCAAAGAGGACCCCAAGACCGCCCAAGACGGCCGAAGAGGCCCCAAAGAGGGCCCAAGACGTTCCAGAGAGCCTCAAGACTGCCCAAGGGGCGCCCAAGACTGCCCAAGAGGGCCCCAGGACAGGCCCAAGATGGGGCCGAGAGCGGGAGCAGGAGGCCCCAAGAGGCCCCCGAGAGGCCTCCAGGATCCCCCAGAGGCCCCCAACAAACCCCAGACCCTTGAGAGGCTCAAGAGAACCCCCGATGCCCCCAAAACAGCCCTGGAGAGGCTTCAAAACTGCCTCCCAGGAACCCCCCGCAGGCCTCTTAGTCCCCCCCGTTTCCTGCGCACTACATGGAAGGAGGCCCGATTTGAAAAAAGGGAATTCCAGCGATTCCTTTTTTGTTCGAACTTCACCCCGAGCCTCATCAAGACTTCGGGGTCACAATTTGAAGATTTGCCGGGAATGCTGTTGAACTCTCTGATGCTGTCTTGGAATTCTCTTGGGCCGTCTTCGTGTTCTCTTGGGAAAAAGGCCGCCCAAACTCGAAATCCCATGAGTCAACCTGTCCAGCATAGCTAGAACTTGAGCGCGCGCGCGCCAGGAGGGAGCCACAAGAGGGGGCCTCCCAAAGCCTTTAGAGCGCTCTGCCCTAAGATGGCCCCAAGGTTCTCCCAAAGGCTCTCGAGGCGCCCCCCAGATGCCTTCAGACTCTCCCGCGAGGCTCCCAGGAGGCACAAAGGGCCCCCTAACAGGCCCCGTAAAATCTCCCGAATACTCCGCCAAGAACGCCCCGAGAGGCCTCCCAACAGACCATGGTATGCATCCAGGAGACTTCTGACACGCAGCCCAGGCACGGCAATTTGAAAAAAATGAATGTCCACAATTCCCTTTTCTTCAGAAGTTCGCCCCCTGTGTATTCTTGCGCAACAGACCACAATTGAGGCCCCAAGAAAGATCCCGGGAAGCCTTTGCGGGCCCCAAATCATCGAAAACCTAAAGGAATTTGATGATCGTTTGCGTTTCCGCATTTTCCATTCTATACGCTTCCGAGGCTTGTGCAGGGCCTCCAGCAGATTCTTCTCGCTTCGCGGGGTGCACGTCCGGAGCACGTACAGTCCAGTCGTTATTGTGCC